GTAAGAGAGAAACCAAGTATTTTCCTTTAAATGTCTGTATAAAAGTGAACAACATAGGAAAATGAACAAAAGCTATAATTACCTCTGTTAACAAACAAACCACTTCAAGTGCTTAAGCTTTACTCTTGTCCTGTATGCTATCACTAACACTTCTAAATCAAATTACTGCCTTCAGCATCATCAGTGTTTTTACAGACTGCTAGACTGAATTCATCATAGTTGCATTTTTATTTACAACATGTGCCCACTTAATTCCCCCTCCACCCCCAAGAAAATAACCTAAACACCCACTCAGCCCATCCCTCATCCTGACAAAAGAAGAAAATACTTGTAGCATGAATGCTGTCAGACCAGAAGAAGCAGCAAGTTTCGGGGGGGGGCTTATATTAAGTGGGCTGGATCTGTGGCCTTGATATAACATGCATCTCCTGACACAGCTCAGATGGGATGGCAGGCTTGTTTAAAGTTTATGTCCCCTCTTAGTTTGTCATTATACTTGCAACATGTCGAGTAGGCCTAGCCGGCAACCTTCTTTGGACCTGCTAGCCCGATCAGCCCAGCAGATCTCAACAGCCATGATGGCAGGTTGCAGGAACAAGGAGAGGACAACAATAGCTTGTATTAGTAGAGGTCTTGCTCTTCTACTGCTTCCTCACAATTAACTCTCTGCAAGTAATTCCTCATATGCATAGGAGCTGCATACTCAGGTAGAAAAAAGGCTCTTGCAGAGAAAAAATGGTGAAAAAAGAGGCACATTGTAGGAAAATAAAGTGAGAACACACACACGTTATGAACTTGCTGGGTTGGCTAGGCACAGCCCAAACGGCTGACACGAGGGAAACCCATCTTCCACTGTCTCTTTGCATAGGTTTCTATTGACTCCAAGTGATTGGGTTGGTTTCTGCACAGTACACAGGCTGCTTCTAAAACAAGCAAAAGTCCCAGAAGTATTTGAACCGGTTCTAATGGCTTGATCCCCAGAGAAGATGAACAACCATCACTCTCACTGAAAATAATGGGAATTACAGGTGTTCATCTCAGGATGTGACTTCACTTCTGAAGACAAGGTGCCTAGCATGGCCTAGAACTGGAGGAAGATCAGCTTTTCCACTGCTCAACCTCAGCAGAGCAAACAGTCCTGAAACACAAAGGCAGCAGGAACATCCAATTCTCTCCCACCCACAGAAGTGGATTGGGGTCTCCAAGACAGCATGGGTATCAATATGTTGCAAGTATAATGACAAACTAAGAGGAAACATTCATTCTAAACAGACTGAAACAGACTGCTATCCCTCTGAGCTATGTCTCAAAAGTTACACAATCTATCAAGGTCACAGATCCAACTTAGTTAATATAAACTAGCATTAAACTGCAGCTCTCTTGTACAGTAAGTGCAACACTATCCTTTAATTCATTTATTTCTGCTTGGTGGTTCTGAATTTTTCCTCCTTAAAAACCAATTAGTTTAGAAGAAGCTGTTCCAGCTAATGAGGTAAACTTTTGGCTCTTTCATATCCATGGAGAATTGCCCATCAAAGTTTCTTAGGACACAATGATCCTTGAGTTTGGGACTGCGGAAAGAGTAAGCGGTCAGAAAGAACCGATGAAAGGAAAACTCTGCTCTCCTGGAATAACCTGGCGAGGGCAGAAGCAGGAGAGGAGAAGGCGACCTTTTCCACCTGGCTTTAGAAGCAAAACAAAACAAAATCTCCCAGCAAAAGTCTGTTGCTTCAAGTTTCCAGAGGCCAAACTGCAAGTCGGGCAGACAACCCGTCGTGACCTGCAGATGTGCAGGCCGGCTTCTGAAACGCCGGGGCGTAAATCTGCGCAGTCACTTCTCAGACACGTTAACCATCCAGGAGAAAGTGCCGCAAGACCCCCGGCGCACTCGCTTTCCACCCTGCGTCCAGCTCCCGCTCGCTCCGACACGCAGCGCCCGCCCCGCACGGAGCGAGAAGGCCCTAACCCCTGGGCACCTGGCTGCGGGGTGGGAGGGGAGCGCCAGCGACCACCTGGCCGGGCACAGGCCCGGCGCCCGGGGCAGCGAGAGGCGCCCTGCCCCTCGGCGTCTGGCCTGGGAAGGAAGAGCTGGCACCGACTTGGGCAGGGCCACGGACTTCCTCGGGTGCCCAACACAGGTTACGCGGCCACCGGCCGCCCGTGCACGGCCGGCAGGGACGGGCAGCCCGGGCGCAGCTCTGCCCCTGGGGCCGCCCCTGCTTCCTCCTGGCCGCGGGGAGCGCGGGGCAGGGCGGGGCAG